AATAATAATAATAATAACAATAACAATAATAATAATAATAACAACAACATTGTGAATTAGTATATGTGAAACAAACACGTTGTGAAACAAATATATATTGATTAGTACATTGAATTCTAGCCATAGATAGAAAAAGATCATATGAAAAATCACATGATGCATCGTTTTTCAATGATCTCATGATTTAGAAGGTTTTCAAAAAAAATGTACCGTTAATGGTTGATATAAACAACAATTAAACTAAAATATAAGCAAATTTATAAGGGCTAATAGTTAGCAACTGAAAACGATCAAAGCAATAGCCATTAAGAATAGCTTGGTAGTAAAATGTATAAGGTTACTTTTTAAAATAAATTTTATCCATTATAACAGGTTTCTTTGCCACCTCATCGTACATGTAGGCTGTCCACATGTGTGATAGTGCTGACATGACATTTCTTATTATAACATTGTACTTTCAAAATTATTTTATTATAACATCACTAATTTCTATTACAACATTGTACTTTTAATTTTAATATTTTTATCATTCRAACATTGTAAATTTAATCAAATATGTTTACTAAAAATTATAAATATAAAAAAAATGAAACAAGTGTACAAAAAATCACTATTTCACGAATCATAAAAAACCATTCGTTTATCGAGTTTATCGTAATTTCATGAATATTTTTATTTTCACAGACTGCTATTTTTTCATGATTAAATAAATCATTTATATTTTCATTTCTGAAAAATAGAGTTTTACGGTTTAGGTTTTTAAACAAATAGTTGTTTAAGATAATTTACATTTTAAGACATTTATAATAATTAAAATCAACCATATTTAAATGAACGCCGGATCAACAAATATTTATGAAATATTGTCATTTGACAATAAAACTTAATATCGTTTATTATTACGTAACATTATTAGTGAAATTTAACTTTATGATGACAAATTCTCATTACAGTATCACTAAATTTACACGGCGAGACTTTAAATGGATTTTACAGTAATAAATATTTTTTGTATTTATATAAAATTTTATTCTTTTTATATCGATACGTCTTGCCGTACTCTCTTATAACAAATACTTTTAAGATACCAAATTTTAAATGTTAAACATTTCTAAATAAATTTATGATAAACTCGATAAATGAATGGTTTTTTATGAATATTTTTATTCGTGAAATAATGATTTTTTGTAAACATGTTTAATTTCCGATATTATAAATTTTAGTAAACATATTTGATCACATGTACAATTTTAAATGATAAAAATATTAAAATTAAAAGTATAATGCGGTAATAGAAATTGTTGRTGTTATAACAAATTAATTTTGAAAGTACAATGTTATAATAAGAAATGTCATGACAGCACTATCGTACATGTGTACAGCCTATATGGACGATGAGGTGGCCAAGAAACCTGGTATAATAATTGAATTTGATTTGAAAGGTTATCCAATGCTAAATGGGTAAATTTTTGAAAGTACGATGTCCTAATAAAAAATATTTTGAAAGTACATTGTTGTAATAAAAAAAATTGAAAGTGCAATGTTATAATAAGAAAATTTGTAAAAGTAGGTTGCTATTTTGCGTATTTTGCCCTTGTTTTTAAGACTTTTGTTAAATCTCATTGATAAGGTAGTATAGATATTTTATTTTATTTATTTATTTGAAGTAAAGCACAAACATTATTGGCTCTATTTAACTGGCACCGACTCATTTTGATTTGGGAAAAGTCTAAAAAAACCCAATGGACTTTAGTGTTTGGAATGATTAAGTTCTTGGACAATTTTTTGGAACAAATAAGTCATTGGACATTCCAAAACATGTTAAGTAACTCATTGGACAATTTTTTAGAACAAATAAGTCATTGGACAATTTAAAACATGTTAAATAACTCATTGGACAGTTTTTTGGAACAAATAAGTCAGTGGACAATCCAAAACATGTTAAATAACTTCTTGGACTTTTCTAAAACCTGTTGGATACATTATTATGATTTCTACAACTAGTTAGTGTGATAAAATAGTGAAAAAAATCAAAAAAAAAACCTAATGAACATTCACATTTTGAACGATTAAGTCCATAAACATTTTTTGAACCAAAAAGTATTTAAATCTATAAAATTAAACAAATATAACAAAAAAAGTACTTACATTTACAAAAAAAAAATTACATTTAAAAAAGATTTTGATAAAATTTATTTTAATAAAAATAAAAATATATTTAGTCAGTGATTTTTCAAACTAAAAAAAAT